AGCTCCATTTCCTCCATCTCTATAAATAATGGACGACATGTACGACACGATGCGTTGTCATTATACGCTGATTCTTTTGCCAGTACATGGTGAGGCATGACATATGACCAAGTGATCATCAATCTATCGAATATCACTTTACATATTACATATGTAATATTTATGAATACATTGAATGTAGTGATTTCCTTACTTAAAATGTTGACACCCAAAAAACTGAACCTGCTTAAAGAAATCGATCACACATTCTGATCTCAGCGCAATCCCACAGATACAATTTCACCACAATCACACAGTGATAATCTCAGTGCAATCCCAAAGTAAAACTTTAGATAATCTCAGCACAACCGCATAGAGACAATCTTAACGCCGTCAGAAGATAATCTCAGCACAACCACATAGAGATAATCTTAACGCAGTCAGAAGATAATCTCAGCACAAATACACAAAACATTTATTTCAACACAGTCAGTCACACAAGGATAAACACAATCATACAATAATTTCTCAACACAGTTATAAGCTTAACACAATCGCCGATGCATAATCTCAGTGTAATCATAGACAATAATCTCAGCAAGAATCGCGTAAGAATTATCTCCACACAGTCACACAGTGTTAATCTTAGCACAATCCCAGATGATAATCTCGGTATTATCCCAAACGAATAATATCAACACAATCATGTGAGGATATTCTGAGAATATTCATACAATGACAATTTTAGCGCAGTCACAGGAAAATCCAACACAATTACACAAGCATAACCTCAGCACTCACACAAGAACAGTCTCTGCACAATAGCATGTGGTAATATCACAATCACACAATCATAGTTTCAGAACATTAACAAAAACAAAATCAGCTAAGCCAAAACAAATATTTATTGCACAATCCCACAAGCATAATCCTATCACAATCACACAGTGATAATATCAACATAACTACACACTGATAATCTCAGGACAGTCTCACATGGAAAAAACAATACAATCACATAGTGATAACATAATCTTACCTCGATAATCACTCAATGATAATCTTTACCTAATTACAAATGAATAATCTCAGGACAATCATATAAGGATAATCAAAATATTATTACACAAAAATACCCTCAACACAAGCACACAGATATTCTAATCTCAGTCATACAAAACAATTCCAGAGCAGTCACACAATATAATTTTAGCACTGTTCACATAAGAAAATATCAACACAATCACACGAGGATAATCTGAGAAAAATCATACAAATGTAAATTTCAGCGCAGTTACACAAGGATAATTTCAGCCACAATTACACCAAAAAACATTCAGTATTTTCAGACAAGGGCAGTCTGATTACTGACACAATAGCACATGATATTCTCATCACAGACACATACAAATACTTTCAGCACAATCACAAATATAGAAAATCTCAGAACAATCGCACAAAGTCATCTCTTTTTAATCCCATACGGATAATCTATGTTCAATGACATTAAGATAGTTTCAGTACAATCACACAGGAATCTTCTAAATACAATCACATTTGGTTAATCTCAGCACAATAGCACAAGCATAAACTCAGCACAACCACACTAGGATACTCTCAGCACAGTCATACAAGATAATCTCGTTATAATCATATCACACAAGGATAATCACAGCTAAATAATGCAAGGATAATTGCAACACAATCTTGCCAAATATAATTTTAGCACAGTCAAAAGAAGATATTAGCAGGACAATGCACAAACGCGGAAGAACTGGTGAATATTGAAGTGTTTCTTAGATGTACAGAAATAGACGAGATACATGATATACTACTAGTTACACGTAAAGAACCATAAAACAAATTTGATATAAAGTAAGTGCCATAAGTGAAAAACAGCATTTGTTCAGAAACAAACTGATATGTCACGTGAAGAAATGGAAGTTAGTTAGTTTAAAATCAAGAATAGTCATCGTAGCACTCGGGGCATTTCCATGCGTGCTCCGTCCTCATCTTCAGCAACCAGCGCAGAGTTCCAATACTGATGGTATCCGTCACTATCTGGTTATAGGTCCGTCTCGCCTTTCCTCTGAGTGTAGCGAGTCGGCCAAACCCTCTGGTTACACTCAGGTGCCTCATTCTCTCCAGGCCATAATAATCTTGTTTCTCTACTGATTCCGTTACTTGTTCACAAAGAGCCTTGACAACATCTGCCCTTTCATACATCAGCTTACCACCTAGTGGTGTAGATCTAGCCAATCTGTCTGCCTGTTCATTACCCACCACGCCGACATAACCAGGAGAAAAGATCTAAAGTATGCTCACTACCCTTGATCTTTCCAGTGAAGCTTGCTACACTGCTCGAAGCATCCCTGTCTTCACCTTTCTCAGCATACTTTCAGAGTCTGTAACAATTACGACATGTGTGTGCATTTCGTTCTCTAGCCACCGGAAAGCTGCAGTTACCGCCTCCTCCTCCATTTTCATACTAGACGTTGTGGTGTCGTATGCTAGACTGTCTTGCACTAAAGATTTTCCATTGGCTTTCGCTACTTCTCAAGCACCTCTTTCCTTTCGACAGCTGTATCATCTGTATAGATAATCAGATCACCTGGGAGTGATTTGTCATGAATCAACTGTTGGACTTTATCCTCTGTAGCACTCGTTGGCCACTCTCTGCACTCTCGACACTATGTGATCAAAACCCTACACAGGTCAGACTTGTCCTATGATACTCTGACCCACTCCTCTCCTCGCCCAATGTTCTCCAGCATGCATACTTGTCTGTGTCTTCTACTTGAGCCATCTATAATTTTTCCCTTTTCAGCCTCAGATCCATACCTGCAGCCAAAGCTTCAAAAAGGGGGTGTTCTTTGTCTGCAGCTACTCTGATGTATGACTTAGCCTGTAGCACCTTTAGTCTATCTTCAATAGTCGGCAATGCAAGGATATATCGCATGCTCACAATCGGGGTGTCTCTTGTACATCCCAAGATCACCCGCATAGCTTCATTTTGTATACGCTCCAGCAGCTCTAGCTGACTTTTCGAGACAGTGAGTAACCCCAATCCATAATTAATTACTGAGATGATTAAGTGCTTGTAAAGTGTAAACAGCATTATCTGCTCCATGTCCATCGCTGCCATAATCTTTAGAGCATTAAGACCTTTATTAACCCTTTTCACCACCTCCTCTATGTGATCCTTAAAAGACAAACTTCTGTCAAAGGTGATTCCAAGGTATCGCAGTCTGCAGTCTTTTTTTTTTTTTTTTTTTTATGGAAACACACATTCAAACTCAGAAAAGCTGTGTGACACCCACCTTTTCAAAAAGTCGCGCAACTGATATCGGACAACTAGACCTTTCAAAATCAGATATAACAGTTCGCACAAAGGCGTACGAGACAGCGCAGACTCATCCATTTCTGAAACAGACATGCAGTCAGCTGTGCCAAATTCATTGACACGGCGGGGTAGGGGTGTGGGGCTGGGGGTGTTTGATTTGTTGACAATCTACAATCAAGGACATCCAAGAGATGCTCAGTAGGAGCAAGTCAGGTCAATGGGCTAGCCTCACCATCTTCATCATCGAAGTCATTTACCAGGCCAGCTCGATGGGGTCAAGCGTTGTCAACTTGGACCAAGGTATTACAACCTATGTTCTCCAGGTTAGGCTGAACTTGGTGTCCCGATTTTGCTCTGGTATCTTGAGCCGGTCAATTTGTCTCGGATGATGTAGAGTCCTGTCGTATCTGAAAAAGTCTCCAGAGACCATGCCTGAAAATCTATCATTAAAACTCAGATTGTGCCATCGGTAAATCGCACTCCTGATAGTCTCTATCCTCGAATCCTGCCATCATTGAAAGACACGGTAAAGCTAGATTCATCACTGAAGAGGACTTGACTCCATTGTTGCCTTGTCCCTGGGATATGCTCGCGACACCAAACAACACTGGCTCTGCGATGAGCAGGAATAATAGGGGTTCTGACTGTAGAATGTCATGCAGCTATTCCAAATTTATGTAAACGTCTGCGACTGGTGCTTTGACTGACTTTGAAGTTTACAGTTTGTTTCAGCAAACATCATAAGAGTGGAACAAGTCACTGTTTGATGGTGCATGGCTGACACCAAGTTGTACCGGTCATCATGTCTGTTCGTGCATTTAGGGCAACCGAGCCGGTGGCGGTCCTTTCCATTTCCTGTGGAATTTGTCCAAAATGTCAGATAGTAGAGTGTGACACTACAAGCCGTATAGCAATTTCAAGGAAAGCTAAACTACTTTAAAAACTTAATTCTTTTTTTTTTTTTTTTTTTTTAGTTTAGACTGGTTTATTAGTGTGGTTATTCAAGATCCGATGATTTGTGTTTCTACTAGACCAGTTTTGTGACAAGAGGTCGCTCTATGTTTCTACTAGACCAGTATTGTGACAAGAGGTCGCTCAATGTTTGTACTAGACCAGTTTTGTGACAAGAGGTCGCTCAATGTTTGTACTAGACCAGTTTTGTGACAAGAGGTCGCTCAATGTTTGTACTAGACCAGTTTTGTGACAAGAGGTCACTCAAAGTTTGTATTAGACCAGTTTTGTGACAAGAGGTCGCTCAATGTTTGTACTAATAATACGCTCTTAATATTATGGTGAAAAAGCTAGTAAAACTTAAAATCAATTTACTGTGTATGGAAACCGATCATTAAATGTGTTGCAGTAATAGGCTGGCCAGGCTACTGTGTGTCGTGGTCATAAGGAATTAGAATGTGTGACAGCAATAGGCTGGCCAGGCTACTGTGTGTCGTGGTCATAAGGAATTAGAATGTGTGACAGCAATAGGCTGGTTAGGCTACTGTGTGTCGTGTGTGGTGTGTCGTGTGTCACGTGTGGTGTCTGGTGGTCATAATGAATTAGAATGTGTGGTTCCTGTGGACAAATCAACAACGGCAGCAGATACAATTGATGATGACATCATCACATCAACATCTGGGCAGGTCTTACATCTCTGGCATGAAGCCTGCACCTCCCCCAGGTTTCATCTGTGACTGATACCAAGTTTAGATATAGAACGTTTCATCTCATCATCACCTTCGTCATACATGTTCTTCAGCATTTTTGTGATTCCGGCACTGGGATCCTCATTGGCATCCAAATTTGGCCTGTATTTTTCCTTGGCTTTCTTCTCTCGTTCAGTGACGGTCAGCCAAGTCTTCCCAACTTTTGCCTTCTTCAGCATCACTAGCACATACTCAGACTTTTTCTTACAGTAGCAATCAGAGGGAACAATGTCTTCGCACAATCTGGCAATGTGCAACGGGCAGGTTTTCTTAGGGAACTGGACTTTTACTGTCACTGACCTGTTGGTGAAGTCTGCAAGTATGTCGCTCTCGCTGACTACACTTAGGTTTCCCAGGGTGAGGTAAAGCTTCAGGAACTTGTCAGACTGGTCCCAAGCGTAGTTGGTAATGTTTTCCTGGTAAATCTGTGTATTGTCCCCAGCACCGGCACCATTGGAAGTTCTGCTTGATGTGGCCTTAGCACCCTGGGCTGCCTTCTCTAGGCTGAGAATGTCTCGTCGTAGCTGGTCTACTTTCTTGGACAGCAGCTCTTGAACTTTCGGCCGTGTGGCAGACTTGTGAAACTGTTCAACTTCTGCAAGGTCCTGCCTCAGCTCGTCTACATTTGCCTGACTCATGGCGTGAACTGGTATAGATGTTTAAGCCGACGATCGCGTGGTATACCATTTGGGAGGAAATTCCAGAACTGACTGAGAATGTATAAACAGACAAACACAGATTTTCAGTTTTATAGTATATGTGTGTGTATATAGATTTATATATGTGAGTGTGTGTGTGTGCATGTGTTTATATATTCACCTTACCTTGCCCATTTCGGTTCCGTCCCCGTTTGTTAGTGTCATTAATGATTATAATTAAAGTTTTACAAGCTTTTCCTTTTCTTTACAAAAGCTTTGAATGAAATAACGTGTTGTGATTTTTATCAGTTTATATTGCGGGACCATTGATCACCTCATATTCTTCTTTTCTTACATCGGCTCACTAATTACGGCCCTTCTATGGGTGTGTGTGTGTTGGGGGGGGGGGGGGGGGGGGGGGGGGAAGGGTACATTTCATAGTGCCTAATTTAAGCTTGAGTGATAAAGTCCAGAGAAGGAACATTTTGATTACCCGTTCGCACTTGTTTAGTGATTAGTTAGGATTATAATCAAACACTTCGGATAGATCCATCGGTGCTCCGATCCCTCCCCCCATCACCTCTTTTAGGAGCTCCACATGCATAGAACGACTGATGACGCATGGTCTGTGTTAATTTATCAATCATCTTGTCGTCTGGAGGAAATATTAATTTCTTGCTTCACCAGGACCCTTTACCTAGACATAGATACGGGGTCGGGCCCTTTGCCTTATTCGTCTTCGACGTAAGTGCTGCGTATGGCATTGCTAAAATCGCTTCTGTCAAGACCTGGACCTACAACAACACTGTCAGCAAAATAATATGATCGCTCTTTGACTTGAATACCTGCATGAATCGGCACAAAGATTCAGGTTCAGTCAGCCATTTCCACGTTGAAAGTGATAAAGTATAAAATCGTTTTGACTGCTAAATTTTTAAAATTGACGACTAATCAAATTTACCTTGCCCAGTAACGTTAATTTAGGAGGTTTCTTTTGGCTTTTCATTTTACATATATATATTATATATATATATATATATATATATATATATATATATATATATATATATATATATATATATAAATGTTAATTTTCCGCTGATGTAATCTAAAAACTCGGAAACTACTGAACCGATTGCTTTCAAATTTGCACACAACGTTGCCTTTGACTCCAAGCGTGATTTTTTGTTAGAAAATAACACAAACCACGAAAGACGTAGCTCCAGCAACGGTCAAATCATTATTTGTTTCGTTGCCGGCCCGGATTTATTTTTATGTGATCAGCCATATTTAACTGCTAAGCTCTTATTGAACTTTGCATTATTATATAATTTCATTTCCACTATTTGCTTGAGTGTTTGGTAGCGTAGCTGTTAATTATTCTGCCTATCATGCAGGTGACCCGCGTTCGATTCCCCGCTAGGTGATCTAATTTTTTTTTTTATCCCTCAGCTGGGCTGCTGGCACATCGTGTTGTGGTTTATGGCTAGGCTGCGATATCTACGCCTTTTTCGGTTTTGTGGTTTACAGCTAGCCTATGACAGCGGCGACGTGATGCTCAATGGTCATGTCACGGGTAATCTTCGTTCACCCTCGAGAGGACCGTTGGCACGTTGTGTTGTGGTTTACAGCTAGGATTCGATATCTGACCTAAACTCTTCAGTAGTAAAGTTGTAAGTATGTCATCCTTCACTCGGGTGACCGGTGTTCGATTCCCTGCTGGGTGATAATTGTTCTTTTTCCCCTAAAAGGGTGGTTGCCATGTTGTGTTGTGGTTTACAGCTAGGCTGCGATATCTGCGCCTTTCGCCCAAGACATCCGTTTCCAGTGAAGTCCTAATTAGCCTCCCCGCGACACTTCTCGATCAAAAACTATTCGGCGATGACAGAAACTGTTAACTAAGACGGCTTACAGTCCAGTTTAGTTTTGGTTGACACGGATGCCAAGGTCAGTTAAAAATCGTTCCATCGGAGAGGGAGAGTTGACGGGTGAGGGTTATTTTTCTCCCCTATTCGTGAGTCTAGTATACTTTTCACTGTAGGTTCCATCACTGGTTCCGTGATGAAGTTGTTTATTTTCTCCCTATGTCCGGGGCAAAATCAAACTAAATAGTCCGTGGCGACAGCATGCGGCGCTAACTCCTCTTTTCTACACCGACCTACACAGACTGCAGTGACAGTTTTTCTTGTTGTTATTGTTGTGATGGTGGTGGTGGTTGTGGTTGCAGTAGTACTGGTACTGGATGGGAGATGTGGTAGCTGTTACACTGGCTACATTTTCTTCTCTGTACAAGTTAATGCTACCTATTTAAATCTGGGTAGATACGGATGCAAAGCTCAATTTAGTTACAATATTTCGTTACACGGTGACTTTCCCATCCTTCGGTGAAGACGATATGATTGGGGGAGGGGGTGGGCGGTTATTGCCAGACACAGTTAGCTGAGAGAGCTTAAAATATTATTTTGAAGTTCTCATTTCTTAACTATTTTTATTTTAATAATTTCACCAGGTGATGATTCTTCAAAACTTCGAAGAGGGAGATATGATTGGGGGGGGGGAGGGGGTTATGCCGGACACAGTTAGCTGAGAGAGCTTGAAATATTATTTTACAGTTCTCATTTCTTAACTATTTATATTTTAATAATTTCGCCATGGATGATTTTTCAGTTCTTCGGAGAGGGAGATATGACTTCGCCAGGTGATGATTTTTCAATCTTTGGGAGAGGGAGATGTGAGTGGGGGAGTGGGAGGGGGGTTATGCCAGACACCGTTAGCTGAGAGAGCTTAAAATATTATTTTAATGTTCTCATTTCTTAACTATTTCTATTTTAACAATTTCGCCAGGGGATGATTTTTCAAACCTACGGGGAGGGAAATATAATTGGTGGAAAGGGTGGGGGGGTGTGGTTATGCCAAACACAGTTAGCTGAGAGAGCTTATTATTTTAAAGTTCTTATTTGCTAACTATTTCTATTTTAATAATTTCGCCATGGATGATTTTTCAATCCTTCGGAGAGGGAAATATGACTGCGTCGAGGGGAGAGGAGGGGGGGGGGGGGGGTGGGGGGTATGACCGACACTGTTAGCTTAGAGCTATTTTCTTTCCTCTCCATTTCACTAATCTGGGCCACAGCAACGCGTGACCGGGTACAGCTAGTATATATATATATATATATTATATATATATATATATATATATATATATATATATATATATATATATATATATATATATATATATATATATATATATATAGTATTCCCATACTTTCCTGAAATGAAATTTCAACAGTTAGCAGTTAGTTACCCACAGCATGCATTTTTCAACAAGAAGAGACTGTACGTACTGATAATTAGATAGGAATAAAGTAGTCTCTTCTGCTAGTCGGTAAAACAGAGAACGGGTCTTTCAGAGCAGTGTAAAAGTGCCAACTCTTTTGTGGTTTACAAAAATGCCATCACTAGATGTTGTCATCATCAAGTTCCTAACAGCCTACATGGTTGAGAGTCATATAGAACCAATGCCCATCGGTGAGTTTGCTGTTTAGACGACAACTGAAAACATATTAGCAGCCTCCTGGAAGAAAGTAGAGAACTAGACAAATAACTGGGGTCTAAAACTTTCACTGACGCCCTTTCGTTTTTCCAAACGATAGTGTCATACTCTGTTGAAGAGAAGCAAATGAATCGAACACAATTGTTAAGTTAATTATTAAATTCCGTCGGAAAGTTCTGGGTGTTCATTCACCTTCACACCTTAGTTTTATTCAAGAACCTGTGAGTTGCGTACACATCCGTTTCACACATCTGATTTACTTTATGCAGATTCTTGGTTCCCTACCTCTCAGGTAGATTTACTCTAAACGACATGCTTGTTGACGAGGTAATGGGTTAATTTTTTTCTGTCAATAATGGGACGCCATAACCCACATCTAAATCATTATTAGATTATTTCTCCTCTCCTAGGACAAAGACTATGTAGTATTGCAGAGGTAATGTGTTGTCCATGCAGCATCTTCCATATTTCAGCATGGCTTGTTTACTCCAAGAGAAAGGTAACACTAATACGTTTGAAACAAAGCATGTTACAGCAGCTGCCGGATCAGAATAACAGTACTCTGACCGTATGTCGAAACTTTTCTCCTAGACTAGTTGGATCTGTCCTGCCATAATAATGCTTTCGGGTTGTATTCTCTTATTAAGGATAAGAAAGACTAGTTCATGAGCTCTTTGGTCCGACATCTGCACAGTATGGGATATTAGAGTTGACATATAACGCGCAACAATCGTCTCTAACAAATGCAGTATTACCGATTACCATTATAATCTCAATTATATCTGTGTAAAACATAACCAATCCAAAAGTTTTTTTATGGAGTCACTTGGATTTCGCTTTCAAACTAGAACATTGTATTAGCAGTCTATACTTATTAAATATAGTTCTGGATGTCCCAGGAATAATCTTAAGACAGAACAAACGTTGTTGGCTAAAGAATGACAACAGAAAAAGGAAGTTAGTGTTTTAATCTACATTACACGCCCTAAGGGCAACACAGAGACACACTTGATAGTGGCATGTTAAGCCTGCACTTCAGGACAGAGGCAGTAACCCTGCATTCAATTGCGCAGCTTTCAATAGTACAGTTATCTGTCATTTTCAAGCCCTCAGAATCAGTCCAGAGCTCTTTTTTGGTCCAGTAAAAACAGATTGTCTCCACTGCTTGGACACTTTGGCCCACTTCTCACCTCGCCTACACTTTTCAAGCCATTTAACTCTCCCTAGAGCTTCAGTTAGAAGGTTCTTCTTGTCTGCAGCTACTCTGAGATATGACTTTGCTTGCAGAGCCTTTAGCCGATCTGCAATAGTCGGCAGTGCAAGCATATATCGCATACATTCTGCCGGGGTACAGTTACCTGCATTGCTTTATTCTATATGCCTTTAAGTATCATCAACTGACTCTTTGATATGGTCAGCAATCCAAGTCCATAATCTAC